GTTTTGGCAGATAGGTACAAAGTAGCTAGGGTTTACGGTGTATGGGAAGGCAAAAGGTGCCCCAGTGTAGCAAGATCAGCATATCAACCAATCTCTATGTACTATCATCATGCAAACAGTGGTTCTGCTATGAACTTAACCGGTGAAACAGTTAATCCATGACAAAGGTCAATTCTATTCTGTACTTTTCCAAACTCCTAAAGGTAGAACTAAGACACTGTACTACTCTTAGTTATTCTTTTAAACATTACATGCATGTCTATTTGCAACTAAAAAAGTGCAAGTTTAATAAAAGCTTAGATTTGGGAACAAAATTCTACAGTGAATATGGGATTCTAACATTGTGGTGTCAGAGTATGTTGGTCTTATGTAGAGTAAATATACTGAATTGTAATAGGGAAAACATAGGGGGGATTTCTACTCTGCATTTGACCTGTTGCCCCTTTTCAGTAATGCCCTTTAAAAGGCATTACTGAAAGCTTGTTTTTCAGTACAAAACTAAAACCAATGATTCACTTTGACAGGAAAACAGTTACTTTATTCTCCTTGCTCTCTGACGATCATTATTTCCTACTCTAAGTAAAATGGATGGATATATAGCTCAAATAACAGGAAAAAAAAATCTAATATATACCTGAAATGGATCCTGGAGGAGAGTAGTGGTGCAGCTGTACCTCACTTTGATTCCTGGGCTACCCAAAGTTTAAAACCAACTGCCTAGCAGTAGCAGCAGCACTTTTATTCAGGGATCACTATTATCTACTTGATTCCTTCTAAACTCTTCATTCCACAGGTGTTAATGATCTTCTTTCCTTTCTGATGGTTTTTATTGGTTCCATTACTCAAGCTATCCTTATTTCTGCAATTCTGCTGTCTGTTACCTGCTCCAAGTAATGTAGTTTCTATTGCACAGCCTTGCAGACTGTTTCTTAACTCTACCTAAAAACATTAAGTCAGGTATGGAAATGTTAACTCAGGTGAACATTAGCTCAGGTGAGGAAATAATTTTCAATGAAGCACTGGATGTACTGTCAAGATACTCAAGAGGGCTAGATTTTATGAATCTGAAAGACATACATTTAAAGATGACTGCAGGACTAATGAAACAAGATCTTATGATTCTTTTTGCCTAGCTTGTGGTGTGTGTGTGTATAATACTATATGATATAGCAAATTAATGCACATTCCATTTTTCCCCCTCAAGCTAAATACTATAGCTCTAGGCCCTTAGCTTATTAGTGTAGCTTCTAGTTTCTTTTAAGTGAAGAAAAATGTGTATTATATACCATGAGATGATGCACTGCACCATCTGTACCCCACTTTCCAAAATCATAGATCCACCCATGTATATGCCTATGCCCCACTCTTTCATACCTGAGCAAGTATTTCATCCAACCATAAAGTACGATGCTGGGGATTGGCAAGAAACCACTTGATAGCAGCACTATAAACCTGCTTTTCATTCTTAATGTTCAGATCATTGGAAGACAAAAGTTTATGCAGGTGCTGAGGTGACACATTGACAAAGTCCTCACATTCCACCACTTCAGTAAAGTGTTCACATGCATATCGGTCAGCCATGTCCATCAAGTCAATACGATTGTGACTCTCTGCAAAGGTCCTCACTGCCAGGCAGTTGGAGGGATGAAAATGTAGCTTCATATATTCACAGCAAGCTTTTGCTACAAGCTCCACCTGAAGAATGCAGGCTGCATATAAGAGAGGCTGGACATTATCAACAGTCAAAGTAAGTCGGGAGGAGTAGACAAACTTCACTAAATCTTCTATGGCATCACCATCAAAGTCCCTAATCTCAATCAGTGTCTGTTTGGCTTCAGCCATTTCAGAAAGGAACATGGCTCTGAAATAAGGGATAACACAAGCCAGCACCAGCTTATGGCAGGAGATTAGCTTTGAACCAACCTGTCAAGGAAGGAAGAGAAATCATATCAATGAAAGTTCAGTTTTAGTCCTATTCTTCCAGCTTTAAAGAAAAGAAACAAGACCAACAAAGCTGAGGCTGGGATCCAAGACTTTTAACCAGTGGGGTGTTGAGTGTTTGGCAAAAAAAATAAGTTCCATTGGCCGCTTGTTTTTGGCATTAAAAACCAGCTGCAGAGTATTCCAAAAGGCCAATTTTCATTTTAGATTTTTGACCTTTTAAGTCAATAAAACAAGAAAAGGCAACATCATAACCCCAGCCAAATCCCTCAATGACCTTTGCAACTCATTCTATGAAAGAACCTCTTCATCCTCAGTGCCTATTCAAAAAGTATAACAAAAGCAAAATTTCCTTAAAAGAACATATTTCAAACCAATCTCAGAGGATTGCTAGTCTTTCTTATCTTACACACTAAATCAGTCAACCTTTGTTTTTCATTTTATTTACACCCGCGCCCCCCAGGCTCAGCAAATGGTGCCTCCTAGGTCTGGGGGGGACACCCAGGGTCCCTCTGTGGCCAATCACCAAGCCAGGGATGCGTGGGGGGGCCTCCCTGCATGCTTGGTGGTGGACCCGGAAGTGGACCAGAAGTACTTCCAGTCCACTTCCAGGTTCACCACCAAGCACATGGAGGGGCCACCCCCACTCCTGTGGGATCGCCCCCCCCCCCCCCCCCCCCCGCACTCCTGTGGGATGCTCCATCCACACCCGCATTGCAGAGTTCATGAGCTGCGCCTAGTACCTCGAGGTATGTAGAAACAACATTTAAAGCTACGTCTATGGCCAAATCGCTGATTTTCTGAATCAGCAGCAAATCTTCAGATTCAGCCAAATCGAATCGGGGACAGTGATCTGAATCAACTAATCGAATCACTGTCCCCAATTCAGGCTGAATCCAAATCGAAAATGGTCTGTTTCGCACACCCCTAATAGTTTCCATTTCTATCTATGGATACTGTTTTAAGGTACCGGCTAACATACTCACCCACCAAGCAACAATTCAGTTTTTGGTAAGAACTATATGCAACAAATCTGAGCTACAGAGCTAAAAATCTAGTCCAAGGTCATAGAAATTCCATGGACCAACAAAACAAAGGCCAAGTAGTTTATGAAACTAGGACAATCTCAAAATAGTTGCCTTGATCAAACTGTAAGCATTTCAGTTTGTTACACACAAGATATATCACAACATGTCAACACTACAAAGAAGCCAAGAACGTTCAGGCATCCTAACTTTGATAAAAATTCTGTTCACAGATGTTGCATTAACTGTTTGTTACACTGCAGTACCACAAAAGTGTTTTGTTCATTGTAATATTATAAAAGCCTACGTCTGTCTGCCTGTCTGTAACACTTTATTTACACTGACTGGCTGACGGAAACAGCCAATCAGAGTGCTCCAAGCATGGGGGAGTGCAGCCATGATTCTGAAGCTGCGCCGAGGACTGGACAGAGGGTGGGGGAGCCAAGGCCAGCAGTGCCTCACCCTCCTCACTGCAAGAGGCAGAACAGTGGCAACATGAGGCATCAGGTGGTGGCGCTCCATCCCAGTCCTCTCCCCAACCCCCCGGTCATTCTTGACAGGCCATTGGTTAGTTTCTTTAATAATGATACATCATCCATTTAAATTAATGAACTAGAAAAGAATAGGTACTATGTCCCACTTAACTGAAGCCATCATGTGCATTTAATGCTTCTGACAGATTTTTAATTGGTTAAAGTGTGCAATGAAGAAAATGGGGTATAGGTTGTAGCCGTGTTGGTCTAAGGACATAGGCAGACAAGGTTCTTTGGGTGAATCTGATATCTATTCATTCCACCCAGGAAGTGCATGCACCAACTGCAGATTCTTCCTCAGCCTGATGAAGGGCTTTTAAACCCTAAAGCTTGCTAAGAAAATTTTTCCAACTATTTAAGTTCGTTTAATAAAAGATATCATGTTCACCCAAAGAACAATGAAGAAAATGAACTATTTACTTACAAAAGCAGTCCTGTCAACACTCTATTTGAAAGCTACAACACCTAGTTCCTGTTAAATCTGATTTACCAAAAATAGTCTTCTAACTAGAGTTCTTGATTTAGCTTCTCAACTGAGTGACCTCTGTCCTTTACTTTCACATATTTTCATACTGTATTTCAAATTAACATGTTATTTTTAAAACTCTCAATTTCCAGAAAAATCAAACAACATTTAAGAATGAATCACTTTAGTTCACTGATTACCACTTAGCTGGTTTCCACTTTAGCTTTCAATTATTATTGTCTATATCCAACAACTAGACTCAAACACAATATTCAGGCATTAACAGTAAGTCTAAAACTAGCCATTTAAACCAAAAGGTTTGGTTTTGTTTTTCAACACTGCATGTTCAAGTTTTAAAAACATGAACAATAAGCTTGAAACATGCTATAGGAAATAAGCTTTGTGATTTATGCCACCTCTTCTTGTTTGTTTGTTTAACATCCCCAGGAAAGTCTCAAATAAAAAGACACTGAAAAACCTCCAACAGAAACTTGGAGTGACTACATCAATATCCATAAGTGACTCCCTATTCAGAGAACACATCCACCAGATATTTTTAATGCTTTTGCAATAATAAAACATAATATGCTTATTGTGCGTTTCTGAAAAGACTCTCTATCCATATTTTTTTTCTGTTACTAAAGGTACTTGCTTTTCTGCATACACTTGTAGGATTCTGTGCGGGGATTCTCACACAGCAGAGAAAGAGTTACTTAGCATGGTAGGGAATTTAGGACTCAGTGGCAATTAGCCATCCGGATAACCTATGAAGGGTCAGGCTCCAGCTCTGGAGAATTAAAAGGAAGGCCTGAGCAATTAGAAAGGCCCTTGACCTGAGAACTCCATCTTGGAAACTTTGAAAAATGGAAGGGAAGAGAAAGTAAAGAGATGCAGTGGACTGCAGTCAGTAACCCCAACAGTAAAAGACAAAGCAAGGTAAGCCAAGCCCCTGGAAAAGACTCTTGTAATAAGACCAAGAGACGAGAAGTAGGAAATAATCCAAGGATGGCTGAAAGCAAAGCTCAAAGCCCTGAAATGGGAATCAGCAAAGGAGAGCCTGAGCCAAACCTCTGAATTTTCTACAAAGGACTAATCTCTAGGACAGGGGCCTGCAATTCTTTTGGCTGGAGGGCCGCTTAGCAAGTTTTGGTGAGCTGTTGAGGGCTGCATAGATATCCCCGCCCATTGACAGCTGCCCCATCCTCTGGCTGCCATCTTGTGACCAGAAATCCCACCCCTAACCCCTGACCTTTGCCACCAGAAGTCCCTCCCCTTGTCCACCCTCCTCCTCCCCGAAGAAATGCTCCTTTTGGGAGGAGGGGTTGCCAGCTCAGAACCAGAAAAAAAAACCTAAATCATACGCTAAAAGTCAAGCACCTACTATAACATATTTTAATTACTACAAAAAATATTTTTGTCATGATTTATGTTTGCATAGTGTATACAGAGGTGATTGCACGTTAACTCAAAAATAAATTCTTAGTCTTGTACATTTTAGGGGGGGGTGAGTGGTAGGGTGTGGCAGTGTGTGGGGGTGGTTTGTGAGGGGTTGAGGCTGTGTGGAGGGGGCATAGGGTATTTTGGGGGTTTGTGTATATGTGGGGGGTTTAGGGGGCAGGGTGTGGGTGTGTGGACCCCTCCTCCCACACTCCTGTCATGGTGCAGCAGCAGGCGGGGGTGCTCAGGGCACTCATGCCCAGTGGGACACAGCTCCAGCCAGAGCTACACATCGCAGCAAGGGGCACAGCCTCTGCCAGGCAGTCTGTATTGCCTTTGCTCCCTGCACACACACACACAGCCCCTGCACTTGCCAGGCATGGGAAAGAAGCCACAGATACTGGAGAGGGCTGCCTTTTCCACCCCGCAAGGGAAGGTGCCTGGGGTTTCCCTCCTATGCTGTGCAGCCCATGCTCCTGCCCAGCTGCAGCTGCACGCCTGCCACTTCCCCACCTGCTGCTAGGAGCCAGTGAGAGACCTGGGAGGTAGAGCAGGTCCCCAGGGGCTGCAGGCAGCACCAGCAGCAGCCCCACCCAGAAGCTATGTGCTGGCTGGGCCAGGCCCTTCTGCCCACAAGGGTGGGAACGAGGTGCAATAGGTTATGTTTGGGGCTGCATGTATACGTGGGCACCTGGCTCCCACTCTTGTGGCTTGAAGGTCTGGGCAGGGCACAATTTGTTGGTGGGCCTCACAGGCCGGATTAAAGTGCTTGGTGGGCCAGATGTGGCCTGCAGGCCATATGTTGCCCGCCCCTGCTCTAGGACAATATTAACCATGGTACACATAGGTTATAGGTCTCTTAACACTTTGACAGACCTAGGTTTCCCAAGAATACTTTGGCTGTTCCTTAAACTATTTCTTATTCAATTATGAAAAGCACTGGGGAACTCTCTTGTTATGTTGTGTCTTCCTCCCCAAAAAGTTACAATTACATTAACATACAATTAAAAAAATAAAAGGAAGCTTAAAGTTCTCTATTTAGATTCCTTCTTAAATCCCCTTTATGAACTTCAGTATCATAATTTTATACAGATGCTTTTCATACAGTCCCTCCTAAGAGAACCTCTCCTTTACTGTTCAACTATTTTTCCTTTCTTGACTGTGCCCCAGTGTTAATCAAGAGTAGCTTTTTGTGGACGCTGAAGCTAGCTGTTTCAAGAAATGACTGTATTATCTCTGAACTATGGCCAAGGTGATATATGTTTTAGCTGATACAAACCATCATTACTATTTTAGTAAATTTGGGGGCATTTTTCTCTTTACTATGCCCTATCATTTTCCTCAAGCAGAGGCCTATTTTTACCTGTATCTTTTGGAATGTATATACTTAGATTCTACTGAATGGCTGTGTTAAACTGTATGCAGTTAGAACCTAGAACCTGTTAGATATAGTACTTTTGCCCTACTTGAATTATTGATCTTAGGCTGAAGATCGACCAGGGTGGGTGAGCTGATATTGAT